AAATGATATCAAGCAATCACCACTGAAAGCTCAATTCATATTAATGCAGTACACAGCATATCTGCAGTGGGAAAACTATACCCCACCTCTTTCATTCACTTCCAAAGGTGCAGGTCAAGAGCTCTGTCTTCACTTACCAAGCAAATGCATACAATGAAGGCATCAGATGCTTCTCAGAGAGGAGGGAATTCTACAAGTTCTGTGAAATCTCCAGAAAACAAATGAAGCTGGACAAGTGACTCTGCTTTATGCACAGTCAGATAAGTATCCTTCTAGCCCAATTCAGTTTATTCTAGCTGTGGCTCTCCATCTTCACCGACAGAAGTCTTTGGTTTTGTAGCCCTGCTGCTAAAGAAAAGCTTCAGTATTCTTGTGAGGCTCCATTCTGCATGAGCAGCCCTGAGTGCTTCTTTAGACACAAAACTGCCCAATACCTCTCAGCATTCCCCAGTCAGCATGTTGAACATGCATAGGATTGCACCCTTAATAAGCACCTTCTTTCTCTCACCTTTCCTATTCCCCCAAATTTAAGATACTTATAACAGGGTCCACAATACAATATTACCATGGATAGGAGGGAAAATGATTTGGGTTTACACTCAAATGGCCAGTGCTGGATCAGAGCTGTAGTTTTAATGCACTGTATAATCTGGCTGTATTAACTGAAGTTATAGGAGTGGAAGAGAGCTCTCGGAGCTGAAGACGTCACAAATAGTACCATACAGAAACAGCAGTGCTTGTTGCAATGCTTCTTCAGCCTGAACTAATCCTCTCCACAGGCTGATGCCCTCCATCCTTAATCATGATCCATACATAGATTCTCCTAGATGCAAAGCATCGGCACAGCAGCTCTGAGACAATCCAGTCACTCTTCTTCTCTCACTCCCCTCCAGAAAAACCAGGCTCCTCTGGGTAAAAGCCCCTCCAGCTAGGATCAAGGACCAAAGTCTCTTATCTCTTTGCTGTACTGGGAGGATTTGCCTCTGTGGGCGTTCAGCAGAGGAACCAAATAAGATGTTGGTGTTCACTAGGCTTGTCAGCATGACAGGACTGCTATACTGAGATCTTCAGTTCAGGGCTGTAATATTTCTTATGCTCTCTCTCTCTCTCTCTCTCTCTCTCTCTCTCTCTCTCTCTCTCTCTCTTCCTCTTTAAGAAGTCTTGCTCTGTCCTTTTTCACAGAGTGTTTCTGTCAGGGAGCAGAGGAAGGGGTTCTCTGCTCTGAGGACTCTTTTATATGTATTTAACTCAGCCAAGTACCACCTCAGCTGTAGAAAAGCTTTCCTGCTGCGATGGCTGGGGCACCCTGGGCATTCCTGAGGCAGCTGGCAATCATGGCTGCCTGGGACCTGTGTGGCAAGAGCAATGGGGAGTGGGTACCAGTGTAGCCCATCTATAAGGGCTTGTCTTCACTAAATCGGTTGCATCATCTAGATTTGGATGATGCAAGAACACATTGTGAGTGAAACAACCCCAACTGCAAACCAAACTTAAGCCACCCTGACAAAAGACCCAAGACCCAAAATTTTGCTATCTGAAATCCCTTCTTGCAGTTCAACAGAGCTCTCATTTCTACTCTGTTCTCTCACCTCACTGCTCTCTGTAACCCCATCACTCTATCCTCATCACATATCTAATGTTCTCTCCTCACCCACAGATTTCTTCTGCACCTCAGTCACCTGTCTCCCACTGCTCAGACCTTCTGAGCTCTCCTTTTACTCTCACAGCTTATAGGATTGATTCTTTTTTCTGCATAATTTCAGATCATTGTGAAATCCATCAGTTTCCCCCACACTCTTAAGCACCCTTCCCTCATTTTTCCAGCTGGCACACATACTCTCTTGGCTCTGTTTCCATCTCACCACAACTAGATTCTTCTTAAAGCTGGTGGTAGCATCATACAAGGACTTCATTCTTCCAGAAGTTCTTGCAGTTAGCATAGGATCCTCAGAGGCAGACAATTCCTGCTACAAAGGTCAGTGACTGCAACAGAATTGGTAGGGATGCAAATCAGCTCTACCACATGCCCGGGAATCCAGGGGAGGTGAAGCAATGCAGATTTTATGATAAAATAGTACAACCAAATGCCTGTGAGAAGCTCACATGCAAGAGAGCACTCCTCTGTTCATGTTTTCTCAGCAGTCTGGTGAGAAAGTGCAGGCTAGTGGCCAGGGGGGCTGATGACTCCTGTACTGGTGACTTCCCTTGAAGACACTCTTGGGACTCTCCAAACAATCCAGAACAGGGCAGCGTAGTTGCTAACGAGGACTAGTTCTTATGAACATATTACACCTCTCCATCGTCAGCTGCACTGGTTGCCTATTCCAGTCCAGGCTGAATTCAAGGTCTTGACTATAGCATATAAATTCCTAAATGGTTTTGGGACATTATCTCAGGGAGCACCTTACGTACTCCATACATTCCTGCTGGTCCTCCAAGGTCATCAACAGAGGCCTTCCTATGAGTTCCTAAGGAGGGTAAGGGGGAGGTTGCCAGGTTTCTGTGGTGAAAATGCTTTACCATCGATTATGGAATGCTTTACCATCAGAGATTCGTCAGGAGCCTACTTTGCTGAGCTTTAAGCACCTGACAAAAATTTTACTGTTCCAGCACACCTATGGCACCATTTATATTAATTTGCACCAGTTAAAATATTAAGTTTTATCTGCTACTTGATTATTCGTATGTTATTTTATCTTGCTTATAATTTTAATTGTACCATTTTATTTATGTTACTCGTTGGTAATTTTATTATAATAACTGCCCAGAGAGCAGGATGCAAATGGACAGCCTTCAAACAAATCTAATATCTATCTATCTATCTATCTATCTATCTATCTATCTATCTATCTATCTATCTTTGGGGTTCCTGCTCCATTGCAGCTGAACACCATCCCCAAAATAGGCTCACTACCATGAAACAACATTGGTAGCTCCTACAAAGCAATCTGCAATAAACAAAACATGGGAATTACCAGGGTCCCCTGCTTCTAGCCAACAGCCTTGTGCAGGTAAATTGATCCAATCCTCCTCTAAAGCTTGGACCTCATTACACTTCTCTTACCTATTTGTTGAGTGAAGATGTACTTTGTTCTGTCCCTTCTGAACCCCCCACTGCTCAGCTTCATTGTGAGTTCCCACATTCTAGCACTTGTATGAAAGCAAAACTTTGTTTGCTTTCTTCACACCCTCAGTTTTGTACACCTCTGTCATGTTGCCCTTTTCTTTTCTTTTTTTCAAAGGTAAAAAGCCCAAAACATTGCAGCTTTTTCTGAAAGTGGCTGGGACCCCTCAATCATTTCTTTCTAGCTCTGAAACAAATGTTGGGCTGCAGTTTAGTGATAAGTTTGGCATTAAACCTGTTGATCAAAGAAAAGTTAAACTGATGGTACCGCAAAGTGTGAACCTGCCCTCAAGTTTAAGAGATATTTGAATGGAAAATAGGGAAGCTTGTTTAGAATCATCTGAGTGGATGGAAAACATTGATCAATACTGACAGGTACAGCTCCCTCAGTGTCAAGACAGGCTTCCCTTAATTGTATCCCAGGCTTCTGAATCAGACACACTCTCTTAGAAAAGAAAGACATTCAGGATCTGCTTTCTGTGGACACATGAACCACAGCTCAACCATTCTGTAAGGTCCATGATCCTTTGGGGCTGGATGTGTTCCTGTGAGGAGGGGTTAGGGAAGTACACTTCTGAGTTAAATGGCCTAAACTGGGACACAACTCTCCCCTCCTTGTGCCTATGGATGTGTCCATGCATGTACGCACACACACACGAAAGAGCCACTACGTTATCAGCTCCCCATGACAATCCCTTCCAATCTCCACACATGCAGATTTCCATTTTCTTGGGGATTACAGAAACTTCAGCAGGATCCACAGAACTCTAGTTACATTTATGGTCAAAAGATGTATTTTTGATAACAGAAATAGGGGAAGCAGTGCCAGAAAAGTGAGAACAAATAATGGAGAGGTAAATCGCAACCAGAAGATGGAAAAGGTTTAATGGGACTCAAGGTCCATGGCAAGACTCCGTGAGACTATGGGCCACTTCCCGTAACATGACAGCCCTTTGTGGGTTGAATATATAAGCCCTAGCTGATGAATGCTGTGGCTTGTCATGTCCAAACCCAGGACATGGTGGTTACTTGAGGGTTAAAGAACCCTTGCATGAACATAAAACAGCTTGCTTATTCCTCAAATAGACTCTGCCATTCAGGTTCAGATAACACAAGCTGCACAGCAATGCCCAATGGGGCTTGCATTTTCGTAAGGCTGGATGGCATATGTGGTAGGACCCTGCGTTAACCCCCAGCCCCACCCCATGGGCTGTTGTGTCATCTGAACACAACTATTATAATACAGAATGTTGTGAGATCAAGAAAAGAGATGTGACACTTCATCCAAGCAAATGCAACTGACTGGAGAATGTCTGCCAGATGTGTGAAAATATATTGCTGAGCTGAGGTGAAGTAGCTAGACAAACACAGGGCAGAAGGGAGAAGCAACTTTTTACTCCCCAGCGCTTTTTGGAAGAAATAGCATCCTACTGCTTCCACTGTGGAAGGGAGAATTCATCACCCCACCCACAAGGCTGGCAGGCCTTGCTGACAGATCCAAGGATCGCATGGACGTGTCTTTTTCAGTCACCACAGCAATGATGTTGGAGGAACAATGCCAGCAACGCCTTCTGTGGCTGCACAAAGCACCTCCCTCTGCAAGCAGCCGGGGAGCTCCAAATCTCCCTATGGCCATCCCCATGAATGTCCAATTGCTTTCTCAATGAGGCAAGATGCTATTTTTACTGGCAACTTCTCTGGGTTGCTATCAGCCCAAGGTTCAAACACAATGGTCTGTTATAGATGATTATAAATGTCAGCTTTTTGTGCATCTAAAATGTCTAACACTCTAAATCCAGGTGTGCTCCTGACTTCACATAAGACACAACACAGAAGAGAATTATTGAGCCAGAACAGAATATGATGCGACCCAGTGTTTATTGACTCCTGCAATGCTTTATTTCATTCCATTTTTTTAAATAACATGAAAACAAAAGGTGGGTTAGATGGTAAAATGCCATAGTATGTTTCAGTATCCAGCCCACCTGCCAGCAACAATGACCAGCATGCAACCTGGCAAAAGCTATACCAAAGAATGTACTCCCAGAGAGATGGCTGGGGAGTAAGTTACAAAAGAAGTCAAAACAGGTATTTGCCAGCAAGCAGATGTACTTTCCAGGCTGGCAGTATTAGGACCAACAATAGTGAAAAGTAATACCAATAGTATTTAATCAACAAGGTTGGAAGAGAACACTAGTGTGAGATACACATACAAGGACAGAATTTCTGAATGCTCGTTCCCCAGAAATTTTTACTTTATGAGAAAAATAAAACATTGGAAGGAACTTGAGATTAAACATAGGCCATTTAGCAGTTTCAGGGATCCAAATGTGCATCCACCTTAAAATGAATATAAAGACATTTGGGGACTATTTTGGGCTATATGAGTTTCTTTGCATGATCACAGAACTCTAAAGCAGCCCACAGGTTCTCATGGATTCTTAATTATGGCAAGAGGCCACCCTCATTGGATTCACAAGACATGGCAAGCTGCTCAGGTGATATAAATTCCTCCAGCAAACCATCAGCATGAATGGCAAGGTAAACAAGCCACTGTGGAACCTGGTTGGCTGTTTTTGTTCAACATTTCTTCCACTGTACACTGCGCGTGCTTCGGACAATGATGTTGCAGAGTGCAGTTAATTTGAAAAAGAATCAGATTTGGAAAGACAATAATTGAACAACAGTCTATGAACTGCAATTCTATAAACTTCATGATATATACCATATGGTGTCTACTTTTTTGGACACAGAGGATTATGAATTGCACGCCCTTTCATGTTTAACTGCAATACTTTATCTTAGGGAAGCGACTCTGATGTGAAACTAAAGTGACTACTAATTATACCTTATTAATACTAAATATACTAAAACTATTTCAGTGTGCTGTCTCAACCTCTGCACCCATTCCAAGTTCAATCTCCAGCTGACAGTAAAAAGCACCCGTGGCCTTTCAAGTCTATAAACAAGCAGATCAAAAAATTTTCTGTTGATCCGATAATGTCATTTCTGTAAGAGGCTACCATTCAATCATTCTAAATGCATTACTCCCCATCCTCACTTTCTTGTAATAATTTGGAAGGTCTCAATCATGCATAAATACGCGTATAACTTAATAAAACATTCAAATACTTCACCGTGCCTAAAACCTGATGAGCACACCACCAGTTCAAGTCCCAAACAACTTATGGAGTCAAAAGAACTTTGTTCATGTATGACTAGCATCTATGACTGCACGGGCAGTAGTTTCATAGAAATAAAAACAGGCAACATCCCCTTAGACAAGGCGATATGACATATGGATGTAGTATACAAACAGATACAGCAAACCACTCCAGGAATGTGACACACTTCCCTGACAAGGAGCAGTTGCTAGGATGCAACCTGCTTCCACAACAATTCCATCTTTTTCCATTTTGATGTGTATCTAGATTAAGTCAGGAAGATTAAGACTGATTCACAGATGAGTTTCCTTATACAAATGCATGGGTAGTGATGCACACATCTGCCAGCATGTTATAAGGAAATAATGAATGCCTGGATTCTGTCACTTGTGGATCATACAACAGTTTGTTAATAGCCCTAGAGTTGTATCCTATGATCCAGTAGAGGTTCCCATAAACAGAGGGGCAGAGAAGATTTCCACAAACTCCACATCTCATGCCATGCTGGTAGTTCTTCCAAACACCTTGAGCAGAGCTTGAAGGCACAGGGACTGCAGAGGAAATAGCAGAAATGTCCTTTGCACCTCCCCTTCCCTTCCCAGAATTCTCTGCAAGATCAAAAAGCCTTCAATGAGCAGAAGGATGCCATTGGTTGTGATCTTCTATGTCTTCCCAACCCATTTTCACATAGAAATGTGCCCATGATCTTCACACATACTAAGCAAAAGCAGACTTGAGTGCTTTTTGACTCCAACCCATTCCCTGCAACACATTTGAACTTGGCAGTGCTTGAAACTAAAAAGGAAACCTTTTCATAATGTTCCCTGACTTTCTGCAATTCCACAAGGAAACCGAAATTGCACCAACCAGGCTGGGTGTTAATTAATTAATTAGCAGGAGCTGTGCCCCTGAACAACAAGCACTGGACTCTCTTTGCGAGAGTATTGTAAGCAAGGAACTTGGTCCAAAGACAGCTTGAGAAACCTGACAAAAAGCCATAGCCTTAAGTGCACCTATGCAAGCCATTTCTGATTAATTTTCAGAGGAGCTGCCACATTAGCCCATTGCAGGAAAAACAGTTGCATTTGTGGCATTTTAAGACCACCAAAATATCTAATATAGTCATGAACATTTATGCCAAAATCAACTGATTCATTAGCCTCTAAGATGCTGCCAGAGTCTTTGCTGTTTTCTTTCAATTAATTCTGCCTCATCTCTTGATTCATAAAGTCTCCCTCTGATGCCTATAGAATTTGGCTGGCACAGCCATAGGCAGAGTCTGCAGCCTTTCCTCACCTGCTACCCTCCAGAACTTTGCCTGACACCCAGGAGAGCTACCATCAGTACTAGCCAGTGCGGACACTAGTGGGCCGAATGGACCAGTGGTCCAACATGGTTTAAGGCAGTTTCTTGTGTTCCTCACTTCTAGAATCCCTGGCCATTCTTCATGATGGGGCTGTTAAGAACTGAAGTCCAAATAATCTGGATACACTAGATTGGGAAAGAATGAGGAAAAAATGTAATGCCACATTTTCTTTTCAACTGATGTAGTTATCTAGATGTCATCCACAAAAGGAGAGGAGAGAGTTTGATCTATCTGAGCCTCATTTGAGCTTATCACATCTTCTTGAAATGAAATAGGCTCTGTGTGCTGAAGTCACACCACCATCTTGCCAAAGTGGGTAAAACCATAGGACCATGCAAGCCTTCAGGGGAAAATCTGAGAGGAAATAGAAGCATTTCAAAGCATCATAAAAATTAGACTTCCAAGGAAGAAGAGAATAGAGTCTCTTCTTCTGAATGGAACAACTATTATTTCGCTACAGAATACATCAGTTTTACATGCCATGCTGCATGTGGCACAAAGATGCTGCACTGCATGGAACAGAGAGATCCTGAGCCTGGGCAAGTATCACTCTTGTTCACTGGCTCAGATTCTGGAGAAGCAGCTTGCTTAACCAGGAAAAAGGGGATATAAAAAGAGCCATCTCGTTTCTAGCTGTAAAAAGGGTAACATCAGGAAAGAAACTGGCTGAAGCAATGTTGGTCACCAAGAAAGGAAAACTGAAAATTGCCAAAGCCGAATAACTTACTGGAAAGATCAGAAACACAGAGGAAAGTATATACATGGAAGAACAAGGCAGAATCTCCAGTACAGTGTTCAGAACATTGCTAGAGATATCAATGGTGAGTGAATTTATCCCAGAGGTTGCTTTATATTATATATTTTAAGAAAACAAGAATACTTGTTTTTCAGCCACAAAGCCACATGATCCATGCTAAGTGCTGAGTGCCCAAGAACAGAAAACTCACTCAATAGAGCTGGCATTTTCCTGTACAAAAAGTGTAACCAGGATAAGAAAATGCATGCTCAGTCATCATGAATCTGTACAACTTGTGGCTCAAATGCAGGAAGGCAATGTTTACCTGAATATAACATCTGGGACCATTTTTTCAATCAAATTATATATGCACCAAAATAAAATTAAACAAACATTTGCAGTGGGCTACTGAATTGGCAATATAACTGTGCATCTTATTCCAAAATATTGTCAGAGTGTCTCTACCAGCAAGGTAATGCATTTTCATATTGCATGTTTACAAAACTGGTATATCACCTTCTGTAAAAAAAAGGTTTTGCTGGTATAACTCATCTTAGAACTGAACTGTAATGCTGCAATACTGAACACACTTTCTCACAGATTCACAAGCAGCGATTGGGCTTGAAAGTCATTTCTATAATCCTAGCCCCATTGATGCCAGATCAGAAAAATACATTCCTCCTTGGAAGTAGTACCCATTGAGATTAATGGGGTTTATTCTCATGTAAGGTACTGCCATGCAGGATTGCAGAGTTAATCAAAGATGCCAGGTGATTCAAGATGGCATCCCATGTTCTCTTGCTTGGCTGCAGGTATCCTCCTGCATTTCACCAGTCTGACAAATACACGCAGTGGATTATCAACGTTCCATTTCTCACATATGAAGTGTGGCTGGTGGAAGATCAGTTAAAACTAATAATAAAACTAAAGTTTGACTAGATGGATTCTTGGCATACGTGCATTTAGCTTGCCAGCATTTCTCCATAAAAATTTACATATTTGGGCAAGAGTTGGCAGGGGTGGTGACTTTATAAAAGGAAGTTTAAAAAAATGATGAAAATCATGCCGATCCATCACACTTCCAAGAGAAAACACATTTCACACAAAACAGTGGACAGCTGTACAACTGCCTCCACCTCTGTTCTGGGGCTCTAAAAGGCAAAGTGACGGAACCACTGCCGCTGCTTGGCTCAAACATGTGGATAAAATCCAAGCAATTTATGACAAGTGGGAGGCTGATCCTTTTTAGAAATTAATGATATAGGCTGGCGAAGCCAATAGTCTGTGCAGCACAGTGATGAGGCAGCCTGTCCAAAGGCCCCACGTTGCGCATAAGGAACTTGGCTCTTGACAAATCTGTAGTTCCGTTCTGCAGCTCTGATTGCTTTGTGTTGCCTGCTGCAGTCTACCACAGAGGATTCTTTATAAAGCTCCTTCCCATTGAACTAGAACGTGTAAATAAAGTGCAAATAAGACTCAGGTTTCCCCAGTTACATTTTCAAAGGCTTAGTATCTTTATTACCACTATATTGCCAACCTGGTCTTGACATTAGTGGAAGGCTTGGTGATCATCTTTGTTTCAGGAAACCCCGGTGGCATCCTTCAGGTAAAGGCAAGTAGAAAACGGGTGCTTTATGCCAAAAAGGTGTGATACGAAGCTGCCATGAGTACCATCACTGTAATATGCAAATACTAGACAGTGCCAAAAAATAGTGCATTTCTGCAAGGAAGAAGAGTGCCCAATAATTACTGGAAACAGACCGTGGTGTCTTTGGATCTTATTGCTTGCAAACATTTCCCAAATCATCGCAACAGAAGAATTACATTGGGTAAACCACTGCTCAGTGTTCATTGAGAACTGCTTCTGTTTTCCCCGCATCTACAAGGAAAAAATGGAGACATGGTTAAATGGTAGAAGAAATATTGAGAGAAAGTCCTACACCATGTTTACAAGCCCAGATGTCTGGTAGTAAGATTATTTAGTCATCACCAAAACTGTACTTAAATTTGTAAACACTAGTCTGTGTCATAAGCCCACCTTTTGCAACCAGTCTGTTTTCCCGCAAAGGAGACAGTCTTTTTTTTTTTAATGCCACATTCACAGGGGCATTAAGAATTTCAGGGGAAAAAACATTCTGGGTGAGAGCTCTAATGCTTACTTTAAGGGTTTGTGCATGTTCCTTCTTTTACTACTTTCCCCCCATGCTATCCCTGTAGCCTCTCTGACTGCTTGAGCTGTCTGAAAACTGAGGCATTATTAGTTTTGTTTTGTTGCTGTCAAAATTTCTTTTAATAGGATGAAGGAGGAAGAAAAGGAAGACACAGAGGGGCAGAAGAAAACAACGCAGAAGGAGGCTTCACTTAAGCTGCAGGCACTCAGTGGGCAGCAATACTAGAAAGCCCCAAGGGAGGAAGTCCTGCTTATGTCCTCAAAAATTCAAGCTGCCTGGGATGCTCAAGGACAGACAGGATAAAAGTGTGTAAACTGAAGAGGGCGCACACCACCACCACCGCCCTCAGTCACCTCCTTACTCTAAGCAAAGCATTTGTGCCCTGCACACTGAGACAAGGGGACACATGAAACTAGCGAACAAACAAATCTAAAATCAATTTCGATTGCATGCCAAACCCAGTTTCACAATTCTCCTTAAAATGTTTGGGCAAATAAATATGTTTTGTTTTTGGATTTTTTGTGCTGAAAAGAACGCAAAGCCAGCACTCTCCATGTCATTCATTCTGCAGAGAGCAGTCCAAAACACACAGACCCTCTCCTTTGTAAATGCACAACGCATTTCCCCACTGATGGCACTCAGAAGGGCCTCCTCTGAAGAGGTCAACACATGGCAGGATGGAATGAGAAGAGGTGCCCCAAGCCTTGCAGAGCTTTCAAGGAGATCCCCAGGATCTTGGACTGGGCGCCTAAGTGAACAAGAAGCCAATGCCTGTATAACATGGCTCCATCTGTGCCCACTGACCAGAAACACAATTTCTGAGCATACTGACAGTTCCAAAACATTTTCAAAGGCAGTGCCACACAGAATGCATTGTAGCAATCCATCTTAGAGGTCACCAGAGCATGAATCACTGTGGCCAAGTTATCCTCATCCACGAACTGCGTGCTGGTGAACCAGCAACATCTGGGAAAAGATGCTATAATTTGGTGGCTGGTTGGATCACAAGTGCACCACAAGCTGTGCGCCTTCAGCATTTGCACCCTTGGAGGAAGTGCAGCCCCTTCCAGAACAGGCTGAACATGAGCTTTCTAGACCTGGGCCCACCCCTCTCCAGTGCTTCATCTTGCCAGGATTCCAGTTCAGTTTATCAGCCCTTGTCCTTCTCACTGTTGGGTCCTGTCAATGGTTCAACAATTTCCCAACCTTACTTGATTGATATGACACTGAGAAAAAGAGTTGGGAGATATCAGTGCACTGGTACCTCACTATGATTCCTCACCCAGCAGCTTTATATAATTATTGAAAAGCAGAGGAGACAAGATGGAAGAGCTCAAATTCCATTTGGATCAGAGTCTCTTTCTTGGGAATTTTTGACATTAATAGGAACTGATTTCAATGATTCCCCTTCTGACCTCCCTGTCCTAAATCACAGAAACAGTGGCTGTTGGAAAACCACAACCCAAAATATACTGAGTAATATATACAGGTACTTCATGAGCTGTTAATCAGCACTGGGCATGCCAAGGTCTTGGCTCCAGCTCCATACAGCTGACAAATAGGGTACATTTTATTTGTTATGGTTATTGATTATGTTTTCATCCTGCTTTTCCTCCAGCATACACAGGCTTCCTTTTATCTTCATAACAATGCTATCAGATAGGTTAGACTAAGAAATGAACCCAGTCCAAGGTGAGCTTTGCAGCCAATCAGAGATTTGAATCCAGGGCTTGATAGTCTAAGTCCAATACTCTACATACGACATCATACACTTGAAAACTGAAGCTAAAACCTTGTCTTGTCTAATTTGGTTACTCATTCATACTATTTTAATTCCTTTCCAAATGGGAATTATTTAAGACAGCTGCAATCATGCATTGTAGGTAAGTTCCAGGGGAGAACTGAAGGCCCAAGCAGGAGGTTGCAAGCATGCCGTTATTTCTGAAGATGCAAAGGACTACAGAGGAGCTGCTGCATGGAAAATTCATATGGGATAAATGTGCCCCATTTGGAAAGTAATGTCCAAGTGCACATCCAACACATTGTATTTGCCTGGAGAAATCTGCCTGTAAAAGCATCCACTACATGGATTCCTGGATCAAGCCACAGGTGTGTTCCTATGCAATTCATGTTCTGGAGTTCTTAATATCACAATGTGGTAGGTGGTAGCTACACAGATTTGATGATAGCAGGAGTAAATGTTCATACCAACTAAATTCCTGAATTTCTTTTTGGCTTCTGCTCTTTCTTCAGCATCAAAATACCACACAGTCATGGCATATCTGTGAAGAAGAAGAAGAAATTGATTTATATCTCTGAATGGTACCCTACTGAGGGCAGAATGCCAGACTTCTCTCCCTCTCTTATTAAAAACAAGCAACAGCAGTTGATTTAATGCTACATTAGGAATATATTACTAAACAACCAAATTGGTCAGTAGGTGACAGTCTAGTTGTGCACATTGTAACTTTGTTCATCTGCATGCATGGCACAACTACAAACAGGCAGGCAGAGAGAGTCGGTTTTATGCCTTCATCTCCTTCCAGTTATAGGCACCTCCAGAGATTAAGAGAGCACATTTCAACTCACTTAAGTTTTTTCTAGGCTTTACATAGCAATATTCTGAAGCATGAAAACAATCCACTAAAGCCACTTGGTACAGTAATTCAAGCATACCTCCCAAGATGTTGCCTGAGATTCTGTTGCTTGTATATCAGTGTGTAAACATGGTACCAGAAAGAAGCTCAAAAGGGCCCTTGCTCAGTGGCAGACCACATGGTTCAAACCCCGGCACCTCCAGGCCCACCAGGAAAAACTCCTGCGTGAAACCTTGGAGAGGGTCAGCAGTGCTGGAGAAGAGAGCCCAATGGTCTGACTCCAGATGAAGTAGCTTCATATGTGAACAGAAATTTTTACACATCCCCAAACTGGAGTGACGGCAATCACAGGGGCTGCAGCAGAGGCCGTAGCACAGGTCTGTGGAAAGGGGGCTCTTGCAGTTCAGCACCACAGTTTTCTTTTTGAGTAACAAAGAGAAAATCTCTGGGTGCAGAGTTTGCTCTATTGATACATTTTTATGGGATTGCATTCAAAGAGTCCGTTAAGTCACAACTTGTTTGCATGTACCAGGGCTGGAAAACCCCCAGCATGAAATGCTTTCTTGAACAGGCCTGGACAACATGTCCAGCATCCAAAACCACAATGGAAACATATGTTAAGCCAGCAGGCCAACATTAATTTGCATACTACTTTACATGGAGTCATGCATATAATTTGCATATGAATACTGAATGCCAATCAACAGGTAGCCAATATTGTACAATTATTCTGCAATACCTTGATTTTGGTTTTATTTTAAACACTACACATGAATACTTGGAAGCCATTTCTCATAAATAAAACTATGTCATTGAAATGTGAGATTTAAAAAAAAAAGAGAAGCAGATCCTTCTCAGACCTGCTATCTGAGACCCCTAACTTGAGGCGCTGAGTTCATTATGTTCTACACATGCAAAAAAAGCCCTCCTACATTCACCTTACCTTGTTGCATAGGAAGGCTGTACTTCATGAGGGTTTCTTCGATCTGACCAGAAAAAAAGTAATCTGTCAAATATGGGTTCCACATCCGCTACATAGGACTTGCCCTCAGGGAATATTCGTAGAATCCCTCCATGTAGCTTAATGTGGTAGTGGAGAGAGAGAAGAGAACAGGTTAAGTTCACAGTGCATGTCTCAGAGTAGCTTATTTCCTTATTTATAGGAGTTGATCTACAGAACTCTTACAGTGGCTGGTGGCTGGAAGAGGCATTAAAGCTGCTGGCAGAATAATCCCCACAGCCAATGCCCTGCTTTTTTGCCTCAAGCAGAAAGGATATGGCGGGAGGACAGATGATTCTTCTTTCTTCCCACTAACAACAATGGGAAGGAATGACTCAAGCCAATCACATGGATGACAGAGTTGGGCCATTTCTGTGGGTCTACTGGGCTTTTGGTGTGACATATTCATGCCCCACTTTGCCCTGCTCTGTGGGTGTAACACAGGCAGCAGATTACACAGACTTGTAGAAATTCCAGGGGCACATGGGGAGGATGTCCAGCAGCATGTCATTCTGCCAGCACTTCTCTACCTCTACAGATACAACAGCACTGATGCCACTTCCTAGGGCCTTCTTAGCCAGCTTTCCTGTGGGCTTGGACTTCACCCTTAATACAGTGTGAACAGTATGGGAAAGGTACACAGAGAAGGCTGCTATAAGCACTGACCTTTTCTCGTTAATGAAGTTAGAAATGAGGATTGACTGTCAACTGGGTAAATAGACCACTGTTTCTTAAAGAACAACTATATTTCGGGGCATGGCAGATACTAAACAGATGAAAGGATTTGGCAGTATAAAGGCCTTTGTGTGATATATCAGAATGCCAGAATTCTGTTCTTTACAGAATGCCTATTTTATTGTCAATATTCTTCAACTTCATTAACCATCACAGTTGTTATGCTCATAACTTGTATGTTTCTTAAAATGAATAAACAATTAATACAAAAAAGAAACGATCCTTTTGCCAAGACCTCAGAACATGATGTTGCATGTTTTACAAATAAACCCTCCCTTAATGGACTACAATAAGTTGCATTTAATATGTTAGAACAAAGATTCCTTGTGGTTTTGTCTCCAGCACACAAAACTTGTCTAGTTTATTTATACAATATCTCTACTTGTTTATTGCTCTTTGCTATTGCTATTGGCACTTATACAAGTGCTCAGTTGTAAACCTCGGGGCACACCCACAAGGCAACTGCTTATGATTGTGGCTCTGGGCTTTACATCACAAGGAGTGAAGGAATTATTAATGGAAAAGGCAGATAGTTTCTCCTGAGGAGTCCCTGTACTGTTACCAGGAATCTAGCCAAGCAGATTTCAAAGCAAGCTGTAGTTCTACAACATCATAGTTAGCCATGAGGACAGAAGACCAATGGTACCTCTGCTCTTTCACACGTGAAAATTATGGCATTTGCAAATAAGTGATGGCCACTTACGAGCTTATGTCCAGGTTTGCTACAAACTACATATTCAACAGGGAATCACATCCAATCCTGGCTACCTAATAAGTGTGCCTGCATGAGACATGCATTTGTCATATTCCTGCTTTTTTAACTTTTCAGTAGAAATATTAATGTTAAAATATTTTAGGGAGCTGGCCCTATTGATTTGGAAGCTTGTAAGTCACAAGCAATTCTCCAAGAGGCAAAAAAGAAACTCTGCAGTTTTCTCACTTTTCACTTCAAAAGGAAAAGGAAAGCATGAATCTTCCCTTTCCTACTCTGAGAGACATTTGGAATCTTATCGTGCCATATAAAGAAGTACATGTTCAAGATTTTCTTGGCTTCCTCAGGGGCTGGGCGTTTGCATTCGTTGTAGTGGGCATTCTCCCAAATCTGGGGCTTTGAAAAGCAATGCTTTTTGACAAGCATCAACCCTCAGGGCACAAGACAAATATCTTTCTCTTCAGGTATATCACAACCACCTCCAATCCTGAAACAGGAATGATGTGAGCAAATACATTGTTTTTAGAAGGTTAAGGACATACAGCAAGAAGGCAGGGCTTAGCCAGGAACAAATGCAAGTTTGTTTGACCTTCTTCTACATAGTGCAAATGAAAAAATATTCCTCACAAGTGCAAATGTTCCTTTCCAAAGGTTGTTTCACAGGAGGGAGGGATAGTTGAAAAGGTGAGAAACCACAAACTATTCTGTCATTCCTTATTTAATCTGCTTCAGCAATCACAGTTCATTCATTTCTTTGTGGGACTCCATTAGTGTCATGACCTACATACCTTTGAGTCCCAGTTCTTGTTCAGGTAGTAAATGCAGGTGATACAGCGCCCATCACCGTTGGGGTTGTCCACATGACGCACATAGCCAGTTCCATTTCCAGGGTAGCAGGCTACCATTGCCTAGGTACAAAATACAGAAAGAAAAACAGTCAGATTTTCCAGAAATTCCACAGGTTTTTTTCTTTACTCTTTTGGTGTGACTCAAAATGCACTTCCAAGTTTTTCACACGGCCATCAAATGGCTCCTGTTAAGTGCTAACAAAATTATTCATACCCACCCCATTCTTCAAGGCAATCATGTTCCTGTGAAATCAATAGTATGAACTTAAGGAATTATGCTCCTGGTGAAGAATGTGAAACTAATTCTTATTTCAATTGGTTCACTAATAAATTTAAGCTGGATATCAGAAGATTCTGATGAAATTGAGGAACAGTCAATGAAGTGGCTGCAAAGGACTGAAATAAGTTTTTGTTTAAATTCAGCAAGGATTTATTTAGAAGCAGTAGCCCCATGTAAGCCCCTGTTGGAACCAATCAGAACGGGTGAGCACCGCCTGAGGGTGGGTGGAGTGTGATCTCTTCTAGTCATTCATTGCTATGACTTGAGGGGCCAAACTGAGCTTTACACAAACATGTGTGCAGTAAGCCAGCCACTGACTTTCCCTTCCACCAGGAAGTGGCATGAAGGTAATTTGGAGCAAAGAAGAGGCAAAGAAAGAATTAAGCATCTGCACTCCTATACTGATTTTCTGACTCATTTCATGTCATTCATTCATTCCATTTATCTTCCTACCAAGAAAAATGGCACAAGGAGACTTACAATTATAAATAAAACTTGATTACAATAACAGAACAAATGCATTAAAATACAATTAAAAAGATAACAGAAAAAAACCCACCCTATTGCTTTGCATGGTCAAACTGCCTCGATTACCCCAACATGCCTCTAAAGGTAAAAATAGGAATACTCATTTTTTTAAACACACATTTCTCTCTAAAGTGTTACTTAGTCTTAAGTTATTGGAGTGATCTTCTATCAAAGGGCACATTCTACCAAGACAGCCTTCCTCAGTTTGGTGCCTTCCAGATGTCTTTTGATGCACAACTTCCTGGTGACCATGCTGGCCGGCTGGGGATTTTACAGCAGAGTTCAACACATCTGGAGAGTACTGGTTGAGGAAGGCTGCACCGCAGCTGTGCAAAGCTCACTTTTTACTTGGGCTAATGCGGGAAAAATTCCAGGATCAGCACACGGACTGTTTACTAACAGAGTACACAACTGAAAGTCTAACCTAGCATGAATAGCCATAATTTTCCTGTAGAAAACAGACTGTGAGTGCAATGCTGGAAAATTCAGATTTATCTCTGTTTTCATTCTCTGCCTCAGAGCTTGTCAACTGTGCCTTGTTTGAAGAAATATCCCATATCTTTTAGACAGACAGTTAGGGTCTGTCTATTATTTCAGGTACCATAATTCCTGATACTTTAATCTATTTTTTTATGAAATGCTGATGGAACCCCTTCCATTTCCTTTCCTCAGAATGTTTTATACCTAACACCCTCAAGGAAGTTAAACTCCCCTGTCTTTGGTTGGAGCTCTTCTACTGAATTATACAAATCTCTCACACTGCGCTTCCATGAAATTCTAGGGGTCTGCTGCCAAAAAAAAGTGCCACAAATGAGCCAAGTATTTTCTCAGAACAGTATTTCATGTTCTGCTTTCAGACTTACTGATATCCTCATTTCATTCAGTTTATCAGCAAAACAGAAGTGAATTCCCACCACCACCCTAAGAACCACAAGACTTCCTCCCGGCAAGTACGCACTGGGCATCTTTTTACAACTGAAAAGATATTGGAGGCCTAAGGCCACTGGTTCCTGGTGATCGTAATCACAGCCACCAATTCCTGGAGCTCAAGGACCTTGAGGAAGCAGGTGTTAGTAGTCATAGGGCATGCTCCGGCCTTTCTTCTCTTTGTGGGGGAACACACACTGTTGCCTGAGGCAGGCACTGTTGCAACTGTATGCTGCTCAGCAGTCTCTGGAAGAAGCTGTAGAAAGAGGAATGGTAGCCCAGTCGTAGGAACCTCAGAAGGTCCCAGATTCAGTGCATGGCATCTCCCATTCAAAGGTATCTGCCTGATACCCTGAAGAATTCTGCTAGCCAAGGCACAACATTCGGAACTACGTAGAAAAATCATGAACTGGGATAAGATGGCTTCTGATGCTCCGTTTCCTTCCCAGTGTAGACCAACGTCAACATCAAGTTGGGGAAGGCTGGTCTAAACATACAACCTGGCCTTAAAGTCCACATCTATGTCACAGATGCCCTCTGCAGCAGACAGTTCAGTCTGGTAGGCAGTCATTTTTGGTAATGGATTAAAACAAGCAAAGCTTTAGCATCTAAATCACTAATTGAGCATAGGGAACAGGCATAGAGAAAGTGTGGTTGTACTGCAACACCCATCATGCCTTACCACAGACTATTCTACCTAGAGTTGATGGGAGATGCAATCCAACAACATTCAAAAGGCAACACTTCTGCCTGCGCTTAAAATATGGTTGCCAAGACTAATAGTAGGCACAGATAATTTATACATGAATTGCAGGATACCTCGGGACAATATGGGGCAGCATGCAGCTTGCTGACTACAAAGGAAACAGTCCTGGTGTGTTCATTCAGTTACTCCTCATACAGCCTAGGCCACGGAGAGAGTGTTAGACCCACATTCAAAAGCCTCTTGCTTTAGAATTCTGGAAAGGATACAGCAGATGAACCATCCCTTCCTTCCCACCTCCAAATTAAAAATCAGTATCAGCTGAATTAGCCAAGTCTCCTATCTAACTCTGCTCAGGATGATTGCAATGCAAATAACAGAGAACAAAGCCAAAACTGAAACTGGCAATTGATATATATATAAAATGAGAGAAAGATACACTGACATGTATCTCACACACTAACATGTATATGCAAACACAGAGAAAACTTTGCAAGGAGGAATCAGTTAAGACTGCCATTTTTTGTTGTCAGAGTCACAAACTCTCAGAAGTTAATACTTGAAGGTAGGATTGCAAATCTGGTTCTGCTTCACCATTTAATTCGTTTGAAATTCCCCAATTACCACATATTTCTGCATATGTTCCTAGTCAAACAACTGTTTCACATTATAAACATTGACCCTGCTGATGACCTATTGAAGGAAGAAAGAGGACCTCAATTCAGTACCCCTTGAAGAGGTGAATGCTGCATTTACAGCAGACCCCACTTTTCATCCGTACAGCAATTTATATATCAAGATCTGGATCTGCCAAATCCATAATGTGTGCAAATCCTTGGATACTGGATGCAAGGTTTTTAACCTTGCTCCTCATCCCTAGGTTAGAATGTGGAGCTTCGAAAGCACGATCATATGCACATGTGTATTCATGTTAAAAAGGGACAGTGAGCTCCGGCAGCAGAATGAGGGCAGACCAGCAGTGCTGAAAGATGATATACTTTCCTCAACCACTGGCACTGTTTGGATGAGGGATGGAACAATGAAGGGAAATCACTGTGGCCCTTCTAGAGCCTGTGGAAACATTCTCCAGTTTTACCAGAGTTTGGGCTGGAATAACTCCAGCGCAGATGAAGCTGGGGGCTTCTAGCTGTTAGCACCTCTTCTTGGTTAATTTGATGAAAAGGGGAAATGAAAGTGGACTACTAGAATGAGCTGAATGTAGTGAAGCCAAGATCAGTCTACAAGAGCTGGAAAAAAGTGAGGTAACTGAACTGATGGGATTCCACCCTACAAACATGCATAAAGTCTAATGAAGAGCCAACTCCACAACATAAAAGGCTCACTTTGCATTTTGATAGCTGTAATTACTGATGCACAGAACCAATCTTAATATAACCTCATCTCCTGTTTTATCTTTATGTGTTACTGGAGTTGTAATTCTAATTGTTGTATTCTTGTGAAGTGCCTTTTTGATGAAGGATAGATGGCACAGAAATATTTTAAAGAAATAAATGAGGAAAGCAGTCCAAATCGCTTCCTCATTTTAAAAAAGTGAAGTGCGTCTGAAATAGCCTGGGCCTTCCAGGTGTGCAACTTGTCGTCCTCACATGTTTTGGCCTATGAGTGCCAGTTCTCTATCACGTCAATGGTAAATAGGGATTTCACCCAAGTTTGCCTTGCAGAAGAACTCCAGGAGCCTCTTAAAGCAAAAAAGAAAACTCAAAACACCCTCCCCACAATTCTCCAAACTCTTCTCTGGCTCAAATAAAAATCTAGGCTTGAAAGGATAGCCCCAAAGCATCACTCCCACCAACTCCTTGTACTTTACGTTAGGGTAACTGGAGGGGGGAGCAAAACTGCATAATCTGAGCCCTTTGGGTTGGCCTGAATAACAAGAAAATTCCTCACTGACTTCTTTGGAAGAAAGCAAGCTCATTTGCAGGGCAAAGCATCAGAGAACTGGTGTCGTTGCTCATCCGTAGTGGTAACTCTAGCAAAACTCAGCAAAATGCCTCATTCTGAAAGTTGCCCAGGGACACTAGTACGTATCAGCTGTGTACACTTGCCTTGTGACAGATTAGCACAGTCATAGCAAAGCTGTGGACGGATTTGGAAACAGACACTGGCCTCCCTTTTGAGTCTGCCTTCTTCCATTCCCAAGGGGCTGCTTGCAGTGGGAACATGTCATGAACTCTGCTTGATGGAGCAATGTGAGCACACCCCAACCAGCTAGCACAGTCTTCCCCCAGTATGGTGTTCCCAGATGTTTTGGGAAACAGTTCCCACAATTTCCAACCTACTGGCCATGCTGGCTGGATTGATGGGAGTTATCATCCAAAACAGTCGGAGAGAACCATGCTGAGGAAGGCTGAGCTGGCGTGTTGGCCCTTGCTTGATCTCAACACCAGCATGATTTGTGGCATGGCATCTCACCAATGTGGGAGTCCCCATGCCTTTTCCCATTCACATGCTTAACCTCTCTGGTTAAAAGGATCTCAGCTAGGAGGACTGGCCCTAAGACTTTGGAGAGCTGCTTGCAGCTGAATAAACATACTGGGCTGACAGGGCAGTTGTCTGATTCGGAAGGTGATCACATCATCCATTCACATATGCTTAACAGCA